TTACTATCTGTACGTACTAAAAATGTAGTGTTGATTTGTTAGTGACGACGGTTCCAACTCAACCCATAATGATAACGTCCAACCAGTGTACTGCGCCCTCATTATTTTGGACAGTGTTCTACGAACGCCTGTTCGCGCAAAGAATTGTGGGACACTCTACCACAAAGATGAAATGAATATATATACCCGAACCAGAGACTGCACCATTGGAGTATCTCTCACGTACACCATAGACTATGAAAAACGGAAAATTTCTTGTAAAATGTATTTAGGAATTCAAATGATAGTAAGAGACAAACATTTATTTAAATTTATAAATGAAAGCTGATAACAAAATACAAGTTTACAGACAGATTCGGAAAAGGATCGTCGTGACCCAAGTATAAATAGGCTTCTAAACTATATGAATTATTTCTTTGCAATTCTCACTGCAGTAAACAGTAGATGTATGTGGCTATGAATATCACTGCAGTTATTCAATGTTGTATTTATGACAATAATTAAAGTTAAGATTAAGATTTTGTTGAATAAAGGTACAAAAAAACATGAACCGGTAAACCGTTGCGCTGCTAAGCATGAATAATTAACTGATGTCACGTGATGTGAATGCACTAAAACATGAATCGTCAGTTTAGTTTTCACAAACATTTACACAGTTCCTAATATGTTGCCAAGTACCACATAGCAGGTTCAACCATAGACTGTCTATGGTTCAACGAAGACAATGAGAATTGTGTTCGCAAATCTGAAACGTCACTGCAAAAAGTACTAGCCAGAAATATCCATAGTTGTTTGAAATGAAAATGCGATGTTTAGCGTTGTTCACTGTATGTGTTCCGAGTGTATGTGGTGATATCACAGTCACTCTCGCCATGCGAGTCGACAGTTCCGGTAATTATTTATTATAAGTACTGGCGGCCGCGATCCCAAATAAAACCGGACAATTCCACGCGCACAGTATTCTCCACGTATGCGTAAATATAGACTTCGTAAAACAACGTTAATTGTACTACGAGAATGCATGTAAAATACGTACGTATACGCTGCGTGCCACCCAAGGCGAGCATGTGTGAAAGAAACCATAAAAATACGTAGCGCATATGTACGTATATTCCACGATTTGTATACATAATCATATCTGCGTATACTAAACGTATACCGTGAATATACACAAAATGTATATCTGTGTATACCATATATCAACGATTTTGCCCAGTGGTATTGGCAAGTTATCTATAATAACTTTTGCAAATAAATACAATGTGAAAACCTGAGAAGTGAATGTTATGCTCAGGTTGACACTGGCGAGGAATGCATTGAATATTGAAAGCAAGGTTTCACTAGTTTTGCTATGTTTAATAAAATTGATTTGCTTCAATATAGGATATTTATGGTAGCCAGCTACATCTTGGTTTCACTCATGAAGGACTGTCAGTATTTCAAGGTAGTAAAAGAATTCAGCTTTTTAGATGGCATGATATTGGTAAATTTGGTTACGAGGGAAAAACTTTTTTTATACATGCTATGGTTAATCAGGTAAGCAATTGATATAAATATATATATAATTATATAAAATTGGGTGAAATTTATTAATTTTGATTCCATCTGTGTGTTTAGAACCATTTCTAAGACATGCTTTGACTGATCACATTCAAACATTTTCATTACAATTTGAACAAGCATGGCTGATTGGCAGCCATTTTGGTCATAACAATTTTTAAATTCTCATACTGAAATGTATCCGGGATCACTCCTCAGAGATGAACAGGGTGATTTCCTTCAAACTTTTTATCATGATCATGCGTATTATTGTGTTACTGGTGCACATCAAATTTATTCCAAAATTTTAACAAAAATAGATTTTTTTTTTGTCTATGCTGATTCTTCACTAAAAAAAATATATTGTCTGATTCAGTTGAAAGATTGCACATAAGTGATTTGATCAAATTTGGTCTAAAGTTTTATTCTGGTTGTCATGGCAACTATACTACTGATTGGCTCTACCTAATCACAACAGCTGGTTTAGCAGAAAAATCACCCTTGCTTGTTCAGTCAGATTGAAGGATTGATTATAAAGATTGATTATAATGGTTTATGGTGATACATGTATGATGAAGATATTTTAATTTTTGTTCACAGAGAAAGCTGACTCACGCTTACAAATCAGCAACAACTTCTGCTAGCAAGCATATTTGGAAATGTGGCCTTGAACATCAAGCATTTTTTAAGTGAGTATATTCATATCAGTGACTGAAATCTCTTTTTGACTTCCATGTCAGCCATCTTTTATTTCTACATTATTACTGTTGTTGCATATTGTTTAATGTATTTAATAGTGTACTGTGGTGAATATCTTATATAATCAATATGAACATGTCATTAGCAAATATGGGCATGCCCTCACCTAATTTGGGCTTGTCATTACCAAATATGGGCATGCCCTCACCTAATTTGGACTTGTCATTACCTTATATAAGCATGTCATTACCAAATATGGGCATGCCCTCACCTAATTTGGGCTTGTCATTACCTTATATATTAGCATGTCATTACCAAATATGGGCATGCCCTCACCTAATTTTGGCTTGCCATTACCTTATATGGGCATGTCATTACCAAATATGGGCATGCTCTCACCAGAATTGGACATGCTGTTACCTTATATGGGCATGTCATTACCAAATATGGGCATGTCCACACCTGAATTAGACATGTCATTACCTTATATGTGCATGTCATTACCAAATATGGGCATGCCCTCGCCTAATTTGGGCTTGAAATTACCTTATATGGGCATGCCATTACCAAACATGGGCATGCCATTACCTTATATGGGCATGTCATTACCAAATATGGGCATGCCCTCACCTGAATTAGACATGTCATTACCTTATATGTGCATGTCATTACCAAATATGGGCATGCCCTCGCCTAATTTGGGCTTGAAATTACCTTATATGGGCATGCCATTACCAAACATGGGCATGCCATTACCTTATATGGGCATGTCATTACCAAATATGGGCATGTCCTCACCTAATTTGGGCTTGCCATTACCTTATATTGGCATGTCATTACTTTATATGGGCATGTCATTACCAAATATGGGCATGCCATTACCAAATATGGGCATGCCCTCACCTAATTTGGGCTTGCCATTACTTTATATGTCATTATCATATATGGATATGTTATCACCAAATGGGGATATATCATATAGAAAAATTGTCACAGTGACAGTGACTGTCAGAAGAGTGATAACTGCATTTGTAATATGCATTTAGTTAAAAATTGTCTTTTCTTGTTTTGTTTTTACAGATTCCGGAGGTCCAGCGAGATTACAATGCAGACATCTGGTGGAATGTTATTTAAAACCACTAAATTCAAATTCAGGTACAAATCAAGATAGAACATTGATGATGCATGATAGATTGTAACTTTTAGTAGTTATGGGAACCAGAACTTGAAATAAATCAGAGAACAAGTCATTGTCAATGACACGTCCCCGTTCCGTTCATATTTGAGTGGCATATACATTCAAAGCAGATCATGACCGAAATGCACCTGCATATGTACAACACATTGTACTAAATCTGAACAAAATCCATGCATGCATGACTGAGATCCGGTTCTGGAATTGTGAAAATACGTGATTTTAATGCATTTTCGGCCTTAAAATGGCCATCATTCAGCTATTGCTAAGCGGATCATGAAACAAATGCACATATCTATTTGTGACATGATGCACCATGTGTGTGTGAAGTTTGAACTTGATAAATCCAGACATGTCTTGGATACGGATCAGACTGATTCTTTAAGAAAATGGCCGCCAGTCGGCCATTTCGAACTTGATCCGAAAAAAAAA